TACAGGACTCATCCATTTACTCAACCAATATTTAAAGGCGCTTGCTGTAATCTATCCACAAGAAGGCATGTTCCTTCCCCCCAAGATGCTTATAGTCTCGGAGAGGATACAGAAAACAGATAGAAAATTATATGACTCCCAAGGTGCTTTGGGAACCCAGAAGAGGAGCCCCTCCCCACCAGCAGACCAGGCTGAAGAAGGTGGTCTGGGAAAGCTCGTGGAGGAGGTGACATGGGCTGATCAATTTCAGGTCCCCATAGCCTTGCATTCAAAGTCCTTCGGGATCTTTTTCCCACTGACTCTCTCAGCTGTTACCTCTTGGCAGGTCAAGCTCACTTCCATGTACCTATCCACGCTCTCCTGTCTTTGCTCAAGATTGCAGGGTACATGGGAGCAAGGAACGCATTTGTCTTCCTCACCACAGTGTCCCCAGAGACCAGCAGAGACCCTGGCATTTAACTGTGCTCAGTGCTTAAATGCATAAATGAGCTTTCTGCCGGCTCAAAGGCTGTGCATCTTTGAAGATCCAGGTCAGGCCAGGTTTGGCCTTTGTCTAGCCGTCTCGACAGCAGGTAGTGACTGCCACCTACAGGATGGTCCTATATCCTACCTGAGCTCTTCCAGGCTTGGAAGCCTGTTCAGCAGCCCTAGTCAACCAGCCACGAGGTCTGGAATCATTGGTGCTGCCTGCCTCGGACACCTGCTTCTGCCTTAGTTTCCCTTTGTGAGTAGACCCCCTTCTCTGAATACCAGCCTACTGGTCCGAGACTTTCAACCACCTCTTCTCAAACCCTTCCCTTTGGGGACTGGATCATGTTCCATTTATCCTCAGCTGTGATTCTTGTCCTCTTGTGAATGGGCTGATGGCACAGAACCGGAACTGATCCAAACCTGACTTTGTGACCAGTGCCCTGAACCCCAGTGACCTTCTCCACCAGTGCCTCTGCAACCAAGGCCAAGTTAGCTGCAGCCTTTTAGACACGGTGCACTGGACTGCTTAGCCGCTACCATTTCCCCAGCCCTGTCTTTTCTTCTTCTTCCATCCCTCCAGTCTGTGTGCTAACCCTTACCTGGAATTCCTTGCATGCAAGTTGGCCCTAGGTTAGGTAGCTTTTTCCAAATGCAGTCTTCCTCCCTGCTTCGCCCTCTCAGGATGTAATCTCAGTCTCTCTCCCTGAAGTCCCAAACCACTGTGCCTGTCTCACTTGGACACCTTTTTACCTTGCACCGCAGTTGTCTGTGTACCTGTGTCATCATTTCTACTAGGCAGTAGGCCAGGCACATGTCTTTTTCTTTTGTATGGATTTGTCAACTAGACCCTCAATCACTGCTTGTTGAAGAGGTGAAGTCGTAAGACCAAGCACAAATCCAATGAGATGTAACAGTCTCCCCGACCCTCGGGCTTCATTCCATCCAGCCTGTATATCACCCCCCCCTACCTGAACCATTCTAAAACACAGCCATTCTCATGCCAAAAGAAACTGTAGCTCCCCATTGGCTGTTGCATGAAATCCACGTGCCTCATCCTGAATCAAGCTTGCCCCAGCCCCTTTGCCACATGTGGCCTCAATCCGACTTGCCCAACCTCCTGACACTTCAACCCCCTCACCCCAGCTGTACTTTCTTCAGGACCCATTTGTCCCTCTTTTCTGTGTTAATATCGAAATTTCTTCATCCTGGCACTTTTTTTTTTTTCCCTTTGCCTATTCCCATCTTGCCACCTAGTTTAGTTATTGGCCTGGCTGAAACTCAGCGCTAAGATTTTTAGGATGAAAAAAGCCATCATTCAAATGTTATGAGCAGATTTTGTCTGGCAAGAGAAGAGTCTTCACAAATCCTTCAGGGAAAGATTGTTTTCCCCTTGTTTTGGGAAACCACGCGGTTGGACACATGAAAATAAGAATCCACCCAAGGTTCTGGGGGGAGAACCGTGAGGGAACCATGAAGCTGGAGGTAGATGTTTTCAGTCTGAGAAGCTCAGCGGTCTGTTTGGTACATTATGTAGATGTGATGTCTATAGCTGAGTAGGAGTTGGGTAAGGAGGCGGAGAATGTTTCTTGGGTTGCAACAAACTTAACTGATGCTATATCTGAACTTTGGTTTGTTCCTGCAGGATGTGAGATTTCTTTATTGAGAGTTGCTTGCTAATAATAACAACAAACAGTTGCTACACACTTACCATGTGCCAGAACAGAAACCCTTGCAAGGATTAACTCCTATCGTAACAACTTTAGGATTTTTTGGATGAGGAAAAGAAGGCTCAGAAAAGTTAAAGATCATGCCTTACAATTAGAGGCAGAACCAAGATGTGAACACCAGGAGTCTGACTCCACAGCCTATGCTCCTAACCTCTACTCTCAAGAGTCTTTGATTTTTAAAAATCTCATCCTTTAGCAGCCGCATAGCACGCAGGGAGATCAGGTTGGTGCTTTGTGACCACCTAGAGGGGTGAGATAGGGAGGGTGGGAGGGAGATGCAAGAGGGAAGGGATATGGGGATATATGTATATGTATAGCTGATTCACTTTGGTCTACAACAGAAGCTAACACAACATTGTAAAGCAATTATACTCCAATAAAGATGTTAAAAAAAATCTCATCCTTTAAAAATTTCTTTCTAAAAAGATAATTAGTATAGTATTTATTATATACTTATTACTTGGAAATGCAAACTAAACAATGTTTTACTGGTAAGGATGCCCAATCACATTTTGACACTTTTTCATATGTCATCTTGCATTATTTTGCTTATTGTTTCATATTCACAGGTATTTCTTCCAAGGAATCTGAAGTATCCTTGAAGGTAGGGATTGTGTCTTAAACTTCCACTTTTATCTCCCACAGTAGGCCCAAATGTATCCTCCCTAAATACTCATTGAATTGAATTAAACTGGTACTCCAACGACCTTCTCCCTCTAGAGCAAAGCAAAGCAAGTGAAAATATTATAGAAATATATAGAAATAAAAAATATATAGAAATACAGTAGATTTCTAGAGCTTCTGGGGAAGGCTGAAGCTGCTTCCAAGCTCTGCAAATAGAACATAGAAATTTAAAAATAATCCTTCTGTACAAACATGAAAAATGTTATTGCAGACTCCCAGAGGCGTATAATGGATTTGAACTTTAAAACAGCAAGATGAAGTAGCGCTTAATTTAGGGAACTCATATTGGAAACTGCAGCGATCAGCCCACTCACAGGCGGTTATAGTTCATGCTTTGGTTCCCTCTGTCGGTAGAAAGGAAGAGGTGTTGTTTTTTGTTTTTGTGTTTTTTTCCTGCAGGAATTCTTGGTTCAGGTTGTGTGATGGCAGCTGTTCACAGCATGCACTGCCTGAGAAAATTCAGCTCTTAGATTTAGGAAAGGGGAAGAGAAAACCTACTGGATCTTTCTCCTTAGATGGTAACTAAATACACATTTTTATTCCTTTTACATACTACCATTGCTGCCTCTAAAGTCAGACTCATTACAAACCACTTATTAATTGTCAGAGAACACACAGAGAGTTTGTTCTGCCATGGCTTTCCCAGGCTTCTAATTGTAAGGCGTAAAAAGTACACTTTGATTGCTCACAGCGTTGGTCACACAAGCCTGGTTTTCTCACACTGTCTGCTAACCCCATATCTTGGTAATGTTTTCCATGACACAGACAAGGCGTTTTGATCTCAACTAGTGAAAGGAATCAAATATCTAAAAATTCTTTGTTTGATTTATTAAGTGGAATTAAGGACACACGCATCTTTCCTTAGCATGTGATTTCTTTCTCAATTCCCCCTTCCCAGAACTTTTATATATGAGTCTGAATTGTTACTTAATCATATCAATGACTCATCATTTGAGATTTGGCTCCAATGCCCTCAGGAGAATTCCTTTGTATGGTATTCCAAGGAAGCATTAAGTATCACTCCTCCCCTGTTCAGCCATGTGCAATTCCAAGGACCAGTGAAGACTCTGAGATGCCACTAGTGCCTGACACATTTCAGAGTTCAAAAAAGCTTTGTTTAAACCAATACAATTTGAAGTCATTTTCTATTTTAAGGGTTAATTTGGTGTATGTCGGAATTCCTCCTTCCTGCATGTGAGGATATTTGTTTTATTTCATTCATCTTAAAGGGGGCATAACAATGTTTTACATAAAATGCTTACTGTCAAGGAACTTTATGTATTATGGTAGAATGAAAGAGACATGCCTGGCATCAATCAGGGCTCTGCCACTGTTTGGAGAGGCAATGAACGTGGGCCCTTAGCATCCTTGCACATTCTTGCTGAGTGTGCTAAGAATGTAAGATCCTGCTCATTTGGGCCATTCTTCAGAGTTGTGTTTGCAGTGAGCAACCTTGAGGGATGAGGGAATGTCCTTCTGTGGGACAAAGAGCAGGCTTGCTTACTGCTTGCTACAAACTGGTAGGTCCCCCAAGCTCCGCATTCCTCTTCTATAATGCCACCCATTTTGTGTGCAAGCATCCATCTGGGCCCACCTGCTTCGTTCCTGGGAGAACTGGGGTTCTGAGAACCGACACGATCATGTTGACACTGGCTAATGCAGATTCCTCAAAGTTCTTGACACACCAGGGAGGTGTCCCTACACAAGTTATTCAAACTCCTTTAGCTGCAGTTTCCCTTCCTTATAAAGAGGACGATAGTATCTGGCTCATAGCATTGTTGTGGGGTGAAGTTAAATAAGAATGTACAGATCCCGACTCCACTAGACCCTTCCTGGGAGCTCCCTTCCCTCTTTAGAACACGGACGGAGACTGCTTTGCTTTGATGCCTGATGTAGCTGGGCAGCGTGGAATGGAGTGGACCACAGGTCACAGCAGCAGCTCCGCAATTTCTATGTAGGCGGGGCTCAGAAAACCGCAAGCCGATTGGAGCGGGGACCAAGAGTTTTGTATGCATAGGCGTTTGCAAGGCAGCCACGCGATTTTACTTACATCGTCTCTTTCAAGTGGCTTCGGGGTCTTACTGATGCGAATTACAGGAGCACTGAAAAATACCCCCTCAGACCGACCCTCTGATTCGTGGCGACCGCGCCCTTTCGAGCAGCGGGGAGCTCGTCCGGACTCCGGCTGCGCCGCCTCCTTCGGATGCCGGCTGCCTCCGGAAAGCCACGCGGCCACTCTCGGGCGCGCGCCCCCCGACCGCACACGCCCGCTCACGCATGCTCCCGGCGCTCCCACGCGCGCAGGCCCTTCACCGGCGCCGCCCACGCAGCCTCGTGCTCCGGGCGCGCGGGCTCCGCTGCTGCGCGGCGCCCGCGGAGGCAGTTGCCGGAGCTGGGATGAGCTATCGGAGGATGCTGCAGCGCGGGGCGCGTCGCCCCCCTCAGTCCACCAGAGCCCGGATACCTCAGAAATTCGGCTCTGGGTCTGTGGGGAGCGAAATGCAACCCAAACACCGTTTTACCGAACCCCGCGCAAATAAACACGCACAGGCACTCACACAGACGTCGCCGCGACCCGCGCTTGCCGCGGCGGATCCCGGCCGCGGGCGGCCAAGAAAGAGCCCGGGACCCGGGAGGGGCCGCTGCCTACGCCTCAAAGTCCAAGGTGTCGCCGCTCGGGATCGGCCGCTAAAAGGTGCGACGTAAGTGCCCGGCGTCACCGGCCCGGCTTAACGGCTCAACGGCGAGCCTGGGGCCTGCATCGCCGGGGCGGGGCCAGGCCGGGCGGAACCGGCCGCGGGAGAGCGGGTAGGCGGGGGCGATCAGGCAGGAAGGGAGCTGGGGAGGAAGAGCGCGGGCGTGATTTGTCTTGCGCGGCCAGGTACGGCGGTGCCCAGGGCGGGCCGGAGACGGGGCTGCGGCTGTCCTCAGACGCACCAGCCGGCACCCGGCGGACTCGCGCCCGCCCTTCGCTTGCAAGACTCGCCGGTTTCGTTAAGAGGTGGTCTCCGGGTGAGGACGGGTGCTTGCGGCCGGTGTCTGTCAGTGTCCTGGCCTCTGCGATACAGACCGACGGCTAAGGGGGCGGTGGCAAGGGCGCGGGGCCGTCGCCTCTGGCTTAACAGAGCAGATGCGCAGAGAGTCCAACAGGTGGCTCCGTGGCGCAATGGATAGCGCATTGGACTTCTAGAGGCTGAAGGCATTCAAAGGTTCCGGGTTCGAGTCCCGGCGGAGTCGCAGTTTTTCCCCCAGTACGTAATTTATTTTCTACACTTGACATTTCTTTCATTTTCCTGAAGGGTTGAACTGGCCTCGCATCATCTGCCCACTGCCTTCGGCTTCTGCAGCTCTTTCACCTCTAGCTGCTCGCACCTCTGGTCTCTCCTTTCCCCTGCTTCCCTGGCTCAGTGGCTCTGGGCCTGGGCCCTGCAGACTCCGGAGCCGGATCCGGGAACTGGGAAGAGCGGCCTGGGCGGCGGCGAAGCAAAGCCTCGCGGTTTCAGCCTGAGCAGAACGCGGGGGAGGCCCGGGTCTAGGGTGTTTTGGGAGACCTGCCCCCAGGTCCCGGGGGTACGCCCCTCGCCAGGAGCGCGCGCGTGGCTGCTAGGGAGGGGTGAGCAAAGGACGAGGAAACGCGCCCACACAGTGAGCTGTCCCTCCAGCCCAGAAGGCTTACGAATTGACATGTACTTGAATCCCCAGTGGGATCCTGTCAGAAATGCAGATTTCTGGGCGTCCCTCTCATTCAGTCGATCAAGGTGGGACCCAGGAATCTGACTTTCGAATAAGAACGCCCTCTCCCGTCCTCCACGATTCCGGTGCAAAGAGACCCGAGGTCCACTCTGCTTGTCAGCTGCTCTAGGCAGGGATGACTATCTTGTACTTCTTCTCCTGACAGTTCATAGCTTTGCACGAGGTTAGGGTTCCACCTCGCTAAAGGCGAATGAATGAATGAATGAAATTTTAAAAACTCATTGTAACAAACAATTCATGCAAAAAATACAAAATCCAAAATTGTCAAAAAAGGTACAGGGAAGAGTAAACATCCTTGTTCTTCCTGTATCCCAGCCTTTCAATCCTCTATAAGCCATCAGTGAAAATGGTTTCTTGGAAGTATTTTCAGATTTATTTTATGCACATGTCAGCATTTCTATATCTATTCTCTTTCTTTATGTTTGTTGATGTTACTGATATAGGTGACATAGCATTACGATTGGTAGTATATTATGCTTGCTAGTTCACTTATTAATACAATAGAGCTGCCTTGTTCCATTGTACCTAATGATTTAATAGTCCCCAATAGTTGGTCGTTTAAGTGTCCAGTATTTTCCTGTTACAAACAATGTTTCAGTGAACATCCTTATTCTTACATCACTGTACACAAGTGCAAACGTATCTGTAGAATAGATTCCTAGGAAGTTGAATTGCTGTGTCAAAGGTTTATTTGTGCATTCTCTGATAGATACTGCCAAGTTGCTCTCATAGAGATTGTATCCATTTTACTCTCACTAACAATGATAAAAGTGACATTTCAAATTAGTGTAGAAGAGGAAGAATGTTCATTATCAGTGGTTCTGGGACAAAATTCCCACTTCACTCCTTTTACAAAAGTATATTCTGGATGAAGAAAATACAGGTATAAAAATAAAACCAGGAAAAGCACTAAAATAAAACGTGATGAAGTTATTTAATAAACTGAGTGCAATATAACCCCAAACCTAGAAGCATTTAAAAAATTGATAAATACAAATATATGAATTTCTCTAAGACAAAAAATAAGGTACCGTAAACAAAATCAAAAAAACTGGGAAAGAATAATTACAATACATATCACAAAAAAAGGGCTGGTTTCCTTAAAATATAAATAACTCCTACAAACCAGTAAGAAAACGACCAACGATGCAATAGAAAAATGACCAAACTCAAGAACAGATAAATTACAAAAAAGAAATACAAATTATTGTATGTATAAAAAGATGCTCACCTTCATTCATAACAAGACATGGATTGAAACTACAACTAGAAACCATCTTTCAGCTGTTTCATAACATGTAGGGTATGTTGTTGGTGAGATTTACATTTAATTTTCTTCTGTAAATGCAGCATTGTTTAAAATGGCCTCCGGAATTCCCTGGCAATCCAGTGGTTGGGACTCCACGCTTTCACTGCCAAGGGCCCGGGTTTGATCCCTGGTCAGGGAACTAAGGTCCTACAAGATCCCTGCACGGTGGGTAAAAACAAAAAATTTTTTTTAATAGAATGGCCTCAAGCTGGAAATAACCTACATGTCCATCAATAAAGAACTGTTTGAAGAAAGTAAGGTAGAGCCTTGTAATTGAATTGAATACAACGCAGACGTTTAAAAAATGAGGAAGATCCATATATACTGCTATGGAAAAATAACCAAGATTATATGAAAAAAATTGATACGTAAATGAGTACTTAATATTCTTTTTATGTTAAGTAATGCTAATAATAATAATAGTAATAATGTATATTAGCATGACTGTGTGTGCAGAGAAAATTTCTGGAAGGATATATGAACGGTTAACAGTGCTGGGGCAGGAGGGACAGTGGTATGAAGGGTGGGGGTCTTTTTACTGATTGCCTGTTTGTAATGTTTGAGTCGTTTTCATAATAAGCCTATCTTATCCTTGTAATAAGTTAATTTTAAAAAGATAGAGCAAAAAAATTCCTAAGCTAATGAGGAAGGAATAAAAAGCATTTGGTGCCTGTTCTTAAGTTCACTTTCCAGTAGTCAGCCCTGATACTGCTTATCCATTAAAGATTTTCTGAATTTGATTTAACAAACATTTATTAACTCCTTATGTTCTGCTCCGTGCTGGATCTCAGCCATAAATACACCCTTTAGGAGCTCCTCCTACTAAGCATAGAGAAATATGTAAACAAGATATCTCTTTACAAGGTGATTCCAGCAGGGACCATGTCCTGAAGGTCTTGTACACCATGTTAAGGAGTGTGGACTTCACCCTAAAGGCAATAGGAAACCATTGCCTAGCTTTTTTCTTTTTTAAAGTTTTTTTTTTTTTTTTTTAGATGTTGGGGGTAGGAGTTTATTAATTTATTTTTGCTGTGTTGGGTCTTCGTTTCTGTGCAAGGGCTTTCTCTAGTTGTGGCAAGTGGGGGCCACTCTTCATCGCGGTGTGCGGGCCTCTCACTATCGCAGCCTCTCTTGTTGCGGAGCACAGGCTCCAGATGTGCAGGCTCAGTAATTGTGGCTCACGGGCCTAGTTGCCCCGCGGCATATGGGATCCTCCCAGACCAGGGCTTGAACCCGTGTCCCCTGCATTAGCAGGCAGATTCTCAACCACTGCGCCACCAGGGACGCCCCACCTTTTTCCTTTTAAATTTTTCTTATAGAAGTATAGTTGAGTTACCATGTGTCAGGTGTCTGGCAAATTGATTCAGTTATACATATACATATGCATTCTTTTTCAGATTATTTTCCAATATAGGTTATTACAAGATACTGAGTATAGTTCCCTGTGCTATACAGCAGGTCCTTGTTGTTTATCTATTTCATATATAGTAGTCTCTGTCGATTAATCCCAAATTTCCCTCCCCCCCTTTCCCCTTTGGTAACCATAAGTTTGTTTTCTTTAGTTGTGAGTCTATTTCTGTTTTGTAAATAAGTTCATTTGTATCATTTTTAAGATTCCACATATAAGTGATATCATATGATATTTGTCTTTCTCTGACTTCACTTAGTATGGTAATCTCTAGGTCCATCCATGTTGCTGCAAATGGCATTATTTTTTTATGGCTGAGTAATATTCCATTATATATATATGGAATATATAATATTAATATAATATATAATATTCCTTGGTGGTCCAGTGGATAAGACTCCACACTCCCAATGCAGGTGGCCTGGGTTCGATCCCTGGTCAGGGAACTAGATCCTGCATGCATGCTGCAACTAAGAAGTCCACATGCCACAGCTAAGAAGCCCGCATGCCACAACTAAAAAGCCTGCATGCCACAACTAAAAGATCCCACATGCCACAATGAAGATCCCACGTGCCACAGCTAAGACCTGGCACAGCCAAAATAAATTAAAAAATAAATATATTTTTAAAATTCTATACATAACACCCCCCCCCCACATCTTCTTTACCCATTCTTCTGTTGGTGGACATTTAGATTGTGTCCATGTCTTGGCTATTATAAATAATGCTGCTGTGAACATCGGGGTGCATGTATCTTTTTGAGTTAGAGTTTTCTCCAAATATATGCCCAGGAATGGGATTGCTGGATCATATGGTAACTCTATTTTTAGTTTTTTAAAGAACCTCCATACTGTTCTCCATAGTGGCTGCGCCAATTTACATTCCTGCTAACAGTGTAGGAGGGTTCCTTTTTCTCCACACCCTCTCCAGCATTTATTATTTGTAGACTTTTTAATGATGGCCGTAATGACTGGTGTGAGGTGATACCTCATTGTAGTTTTGATTTGCATTTCACTAATAATTAGTGATGTTGAGCATCTTTTCATGTGACTGTTGGCCCTCTGTATGTCCTCTTTGGAGAAATGTCTGTTTAGGTCTTCTGCCCATTTTTTTTATTGGGTTGTTTTTTAGATATTAAGCTGTATGAGCTGTTTGTATATTCTGGAAGTTAATCCCTTGTTGGTAGCGTCGTTTGCAAATATCTTCTCCCAGTCCGTAAGTTGTCTTTTTGT